ATATTCCCAGGAGCGGATCTGCCAGGTGAGGAGGGAACGGGAGCGGGGTGGGGAGGGATGATCCCGGTGGGAATGTGGGATCTGAGCCTCCCTCTCCTCCTTTTCCCAGGACCTGACGGTTTTCCTGGACAAACTGGTGAGGATCCCCCCCAGGGATGGGAATGGGAAGGATGTTGGGATGATCCCAAGGGGCTGGAATCGTTGGGAATCCCGGCTGGAAGGATGTTGGGATGATCCCAAGGAATGGGAATGGCCAGGGAATGATGGCTGGAAGGGTGTTGGGATGATCCCAAGGAATGGGAATGACCAGGGAATCAGGGCTGGAAGGATTCCAGGATGATCCCAAGGAATGGGAATGACCAGGGAATCCTGGCTGGAAGGATTCCAGGATGATCCCAAGGAATGGGAATGGCCGGGAATGACGGCTGGAAGGATGTTGGGATTATCCCAAGGGGCTGGAATGGTCAGGAATCCCGGCTGGAATGATGTTGGGATGATCCCAAGGAATGGGAATGGCCGGGAATGACAACTGGAAGGATGTTGGGATGATCCCAAGGGGCTGGAATGGAGAAGGGAAAAAAGGGAAATGAAAAAGGGGAAAAGGAGGAGAAAAAAAGGATGGGAAAGGAGAGAAAACTCCAAGGAAAGGGGAAAAAGGAGGAAAAAACAAGGAAAGGGGGAAAAACAAGGAAAGGGGGGAAAGGAGAAAAAAAATCAGAAAATGGGGAAAAGGGGGAAAAACAAGGAAAGGAGGAGAAAAACAAGGAAAGGGGGAAAAGGGGACAAAATCAGAAAAGGGGGAAAAGGAGAAAAAACAGGGAAAGGTAAAGAAAACCAAGGAAAGGAGGAAAAGGAGAAAAAAAAACAAGGAAAGGGTGAAAAGGAGAAAAAAAAACAAGGAAAGGAGGGAAAATTCAAGGAGGAAAAGGAGAAAAAACAGGGAAAGGAGGAAAAAGGGAAAAAAACAAGGAAAGGGGGAAAAAACAAAGAAAAGTGGAAAAGGAGAAAAATATCAGAAAAGGGGGAAAAGGGGAAAAATCAAGGAAAGGAGAAGAAAAACAAGGAAAGGGGGAAAAGGAGAAAAAAACGAGGAAAAGGGGGAAAAGGAGGGAGGATAAAAACAAGGAAAGAGAAAAGGGGAAAAAAACAAGGAAAGGGGGAAAAGGAGAAAAAACAGGGAAAGGAGAAGAAAAACAAGGAAAGGGGGGGGAAAGGCGAAAAAAGATGGAAAAAATTCCAGTGTTGCTGTTCCCGAGCTCCTTCCCGACTCCAGGGCCGGGAATTCCCTCCCCGCTCCCGCCGCCCATCCCGGGCGGGTTCTCTGGGAATGGGGGGGGATCCCTGAGGTGCCTTTTCCCGCAGGGAATTCCGCAGGCGGTGCTGGTGGGACACGACTGGGGCGGCGCCGTGGTTTGGAACATGGCCCTGTTCCACCCCCACAGGGTCAGGTGGGTCCCCGCATTCCAGGGGCTCGGCAACGCGGCCCGGAATTCCGGGATAAGGCTGATTATTCCCACCGGGAATGCTCAGGGCCGTGGCCTCGCTGAACTCTCCGTTCCACATCCCGGAATTCCGGGATAACGGTGATTTTTCCCACCGGGAATGCTCAGGGCCGTGGCCTCACTGAACGCTCCATCCCCCTGATCCCAAATTCCAGGATAACGCTGATTATTCCCACTGGGAATTCCCAGGACCGTGACCTCACCGAACACTCCATTCCACATCCAGAATTCCGGGATAGCACTGATTTTTCCCACTGGGAATTCCCAGGGCCGTGGCCTCGCTGAACACTCCATCCCCCGATCCCAAATTCTGGGATAACGCTACTTTTTCCCACCGGGAATGCTCAGGGCCGTGGCCTCGCTGAACATTCCATACCCCTGATCCCAAATTCCGGGATAATGCTGATTTTTCCTTTGGGAATTCCCAGGGCCGTGGCCTCACTGAACACCCCGTACCCCTGATCCCAAATTCCGGGATAACGCTGATTATTCCCGTTGGGAATTCCCAGGGCTGTGGCCTCGCTGAACACTCCATTCCACATCCAGAATTCCGGGATAATGCTGATTTTTCCCACTGGGAATTCCCAGGGCCGTGACCTCACCGAACACTCCATTCCACATCCAGAATTCCGGGATAACGCTGATTATTCCCACTGGGAATTCCCAGGGCCGTGGCCTCACTGAGTGCCCCATTCCACATCCGGAATTCCGGGATAACGCTACTTTTTCCCACTGGGAATTCCTAGGGCCGTGGCCTCGCTGAACGCTCCGTTCCACTGATCCCAAATTCCGGGATAACGCTGATTATTCCCGTTGGGAATTCCCAGGGCCGTGGCCTCGCTGAACACCCCGTACCGCCCGGCCGACCCCGCCGTGGATATCCTGGAGAAGATGAAGGAACATCCCGCCCTGGAATACCAGTTCTACTTCCAGGAGCCAGTGAGGATCCCGGGGGTTTTTCCGGGATGCGGGACGGGGGTGTGGAATTCCCCCCCTGGATCCCGGTTTTTCCCGCAGGGAGTGGCGGAGGCGGAGCTGGAGAAGGACATCGGCCGCACCCTCAAGGCCCTGATCCGATCGACGCACCCGGAGGTAACGCCGGGATCGGGGGAATTTGGGAATTTGGGAATTCGGGAGAGGCTCCGGAGCGTCCCAGAGGGTCCCTCAGTCGTGTTCCCATCCCAGTTTGTCGTCCTCTTCCCACTTTTTCCTGGGAATGGCTGCTCCCAGCTCTGGTATCCAGGGCTGTTCCATTGGATCCCGATCCCTTGGGATGCTCCCAGCTCTGGAATCCAGTGATTCCCAATCCCTTGGGATGCTCCCAGCTCTGGTATCCATTGGATCCTGATCCCTTGGGATGCTCCCAGCTCTGGTATCCGTTGGATCCCGATCCCTTGGGATGCTCCCAGCTCTGGGAGTTGGTTCCTGGATCCCTTGGGATGCACCAATTCCTGGTCCCTGCTCCAGGAAGGGCAGGACCCCCCATTCCCTGTTCCCCATTCCCATTGCCAGTTCCCCATTCCCTGTTCCCTCCTTGCCCCATTCCCCATTCCCATTCCCTGTTCCCCATTCCCATTCCCTGTTCCCCATTCCCATTCCCTGTTCCCTTGTTTCCCATTCCCATTCCCCATTCCTATTCCCAGTTCCCCATTCCCATTCCCATTCCTATTCTCTGTTCCCCATCCCCAT